CATTGTAACTACTGGTACGGGCATATCCATTATTATTTAAATAATAGTGTTTCTTTCAGCAGATATCAATCTTATAAAATGGCTTTTGCATTCGTATTTTTGTCTTATCGACAGATTAAAGTGAAGAGTAATACGATAAACTGTACAATTGACATGTTATACAGTTATATTTTTTATTTCATTTTTAATCTTTTATTATTATTTGTTTAATTTTAAAATAAATTTGAGCGTTTTATTTTGATCCTTTACATTTTCAAACTTTTTAAACTAAGTGATCTTCAGTACTTATAATTAGTGATGTGCCGGATATCCGTATCCGTATCCGCGGATCTAGACTCTAATGATCCGTATCCGTATCCGCGGATCTAGACTCTAATGATCCGTATGTGTATCCGCGGATCTAGACTAATGATCCCTATCCGTATCCGCGGATCTAGACTCTAATGATCCGTATGCGTATCCGCGGATATACATTTTTAACGATCCGGCACATCATTAGTAATGATGCAATTATTTGGAGCCCCTTTCACTTCCAATAGTATGATCCGTTGTGGGCCAAATAGTTGAGGATGTTAAAGTGTCATCCTGCCGCTTGAAGGACCCAAGATCGAATTCGGGGGAATTTTCATAGATCATCTGTCCCGAATATGTCAGGCTCATCCCTCACTCGGTTTCATTGTGGCTCTGGTTGGAATTCATGATGGATATGATTAAACGTTTGGTTTGTTGGATTTCACGACACAGTTGTGATTTCTCAAGGCAGATGCGGAGAGGACTTTCTATGAGAAATAAGCCCTATTTAGACGTTAGCAGTTAGGCATGGGTAAAAAATCCGGAAAACTCCATGGGCCGGCTCGTTGCAAGGTACGAACCCACGACCAATTACTAGTGTTCAGTAATCTTATCCACTAGGCCACTGATGGGCTCAGATGCTTCCCAAGAAGACTTTCTATGCGTAATAGGTCCCTATTCGTTTGTAGGATACGCGAAGAAAACCCGGAAAATCCAAGCGGCCGGCCCATTGGTGAGACTGGAATCCGCGCCACAGCCACTGGCAAATGGCATAATTAAAAACCCTCTTAGTGCTCACAGGACAAAAAAGCCAAAAAATGTATGTTCCATTTGTAAAACAACCTGGAATTATTAGATGGAACTTTTCTGAAAATATAAAATTCTTAAATTATTATAATTAAAAAATGTCGAAACAAACATAGTTTTGAAGACTTCTTCCATGATTCACACTACAGTCGACCCCCCTATAATACGGGTTCCTATAGTTCGGATTCCTATATCACGGCGAAAAAATTGCGACAGTATTCGTACAAACACGCTAAAAAACTCGTATAATTCGGTAAAACGTCATCTCCGACTCGTGTCGCGACGGGATTGGTCGAATCTAGACCAATAGCAGATATTACCGTTGAGTTTAAACGAGCAGCGGACCTACTAAAAACCATTTATTATTTAACGTCCATAAAAATTATATTTATATTAATGATGTCTCCAAAGTTCAGCGAATATTTCGTAAAAAAAAAATAATTTATTAGGAAGCACGCGAGCGCCATTCGATGACAAGCTCCACGACGAAAACAAGCTTAAGCAATGTCGTAGTCGAACGGTGCACGCTCGGTAAGTTAATCCTACAATTTTTTGTTTATAGCATAGTTTATATGGATTATTCCCAAAAAATTATACGTGTTTTGGAAATGTTGAGTCAAATTAGTCTAGAATCGATTAATTTTATGGAAGAAACCTTTCAAACAGCCGTAGTCCGTAAACTGCATACGTGCAGGGTTGTGATTGGCTGGACTCGTAGAAATGGATTCATAAAAACCGGAACGTATCTACCGTGTTATAGGGGGATCGACTGCAGGGGCGCCACTAGCTGTTTGAACGCCCGTGTGCAATACCGATTATGACGCCCCCTGTTTAACTACGACTACCTACGCCGAGCTTGCCAGAAAGGCTCTTTAGTGTTGTCTCATAAGGGTGTGAAAAAAGAAAGTTAAATACTTTACAAAGAAAAACTATTTATTATTACTAAGTTATTTTTGTTTACTTAAGTGTAAAACCATATAAATATTTATCTACAGAAATTAAACTCTTCTTGCCTTTATGTTTGCGAAATCTGCTATCAATTTTCTTGTATCCAAGCTGTCTAAGATTTCGTATTCAATTGAAACTACAGCTAAATTACTTAGTCTTTGCTGGTACATTGTTGACCTTAAATAGTTTTTCTATAATTTTTAACTTCGAAAAGGACCTTTCACCAAATGCAACTGTAACCGGCAATGTAAGTATATTTTTAGTGCTATTGCTGTGTTCGGAAATGTTGAAATTAAGTCATTAGTAAAAAGATATTGTAATAGGGTTTGTGGATCATTAGACTGGTTTTCTGGAAAATGCAACTTTAAAGTATTGATTTCATTAAACAAATCAATACCGTCAATGTCTGTTTCACTACTCGAATCGTCTTTAAGCTTCAGATTTAAATCCTAACCAAGTTAAAATATCATTAATTCTAATTAGATCCATGTCAGAAGAATTGTTAACAAAATAATTGCAATTTGATATGCGATAGAACTGTTCGAATGCGTACAAGTACAAACTAAGAAGGAAGCTCCGTGGGGATTCCCTATTTTCGCCAGTCCTATCAACTTCTGTCATAGAGCACGACTATGGGTACTTGGCTTTCGGGTACTTATGGGTACTTCGTCGGATGGTTCAAACTGCCGACAGACGTTTCGCATTGCATCTTAATTCTGATAAATGCCAATAGAGGCGCTGTTAACGCTATAATATAAATAAGAATATAGTAATTGCGCGCCGGTCGGAGTTTTTTCTCCATGCGAAGACATTTCTTATGCTATAAGTAGGGTGGGTATTATGACAATGACTTTCAATATTACATGACCGATCGCTCGATTTTCCGCCCCCAGGACGTGCCGCCCGCATGCGGTGCACGCCTTGCACGCCCGCTTACGGCGGGCCTGATCGACTGTATTTCAATGGTTCAAGACATTCTCGAAGGCCGGAATAAATCTGATTTGATGACTGAAGAACTCTAGCATTATTGAGGTTATCGTCCGAGAAAACTATCGAATTTCCATCGCTAAACTTGTCGATATGTCGAATGCTTCCACCGAGAGTACCCATATAATTTTGCACCACTACTTGCGCATAAAACACATTTGTTCTCGATGGGATTTCTGGTTTCTGACGCATGAGCAGAAACACGTCTGGATAGAAGTCCGCCAAGTGTTGCGACGTCTGGTAACGATCTGGACGACATATTTTCTCCTAGCAAATGTCTGAGATGAAAAACATTTTTTAACCATATCCAAACAAAAACAAATCGCGATTAACAAAAATTAAGGGAAACTAAATTATAAAGGAAAAGGGGAATTAAAATTATTTTAATATTAAAACCACGCGGTAAAAATGGAAAAAAATTAGTAAATTAAATTCTTTGTAAGACAAGACAAACAAAAAAGAAAATGTTAGTTAAATTAAGGCACAAGTTTCGTTCAACACCGAATGAAAGTCGGTGTCGAACTTTATTAATAAACAATCTTTCTCGAGAACCGATCTAGTCCAATTTCATCTGGTAACGGAGAAAGATTAATCTGGGACCGAGAAAGATGTTTAAATACGAAAACTACTTTTTTTTTCTCTCTCTCTCGTTAGATTGAATATTTCTTTATATGGACGCGAAATTTCCACGTCTTTATACCAACAATCTTACGTAATCTATATATATAAAAATGAATGTATGTCTGTCTGTGTGTCTGTCTGTCTGTCTTATGTCCTTCATTCATTACCACACCGTTTATCCGATTGCCATGAAACTTTGGGAAGGTTAGTATACTCCCGCGCAGGTTTCTGGCATAGTACGATTGCAATGAAACTTTGGGAAGTTTTTTAATACACTCCCGCGTTGGTTTCTGGCATATTACATTTATCCTACGATAGATGGCGCGCGTTTATACGAACATTCCAGCATTGTGTGTTCGATCGATTTTAAATTGTAAAGACCATTTCCCTCTTCAAAAAATATCTCTATATATGCATTTGTGAACTGTTATTTACGATATTTGTAATAATTTTTGTTTAATCACTTTATTTCAACTTTTTTTTGCTAATTATGNATTGCTTACTGACTAGGGCAAGAATGATCAATTTGATACTTAAATGCATCGAGTGCATTCCAGTTGTATAGAAGATAGATAAAATAGATTCCTTTTTTGTTGTGGGCAGAACTGCAAACATGAGGACATTTATTAGAATTGTTGAGTACCTAAAAAAAGAAAGATTGATGCAATTGACATTTTTATGTGTTCTTACTTTTAATATTTATGTTTATTTTACAATTTTTAAGACTTTTATGCCTACAGAACTTTAATTTTAGAATTTTTATATTGTCTAATGGAAGTTTAAATTGTGTCTGATGGCTTCCAAATTATATATAATTCAGATTAAACAATTACTTAAATTCATTCTATTTTTTTTTTCCTTTTTAAGTTAAATAAAACTGCTAGAATAGGAAAACTGAAATATTAATTAAATTGACATTATATTAAAAATTGAAATGTAAATTATTGAAAAAAATACTTGTTTTGTGTGTATATAACTAAGTTTGAAACTTTTTTCTTTTGTTTTAATCGTTTTTGTAGGATTTTAACACGAGTCCGGCCATGAGTACGATTACGTGTATGTGTCTGAGGAGTGTTATTAACCTCGGGAACAGTATTATTGGCGTCAGTATATTAGCCATGCCGTATTGTTTTAAAAAGGTAACTATATTTATTTTGAAATAAATTAATAATTACAATCTGAACCTTGATTCATGTACAGAATTGCATTAACCAAGGTGAGCTTGTAAGCAAATACACTACTTTTTCTTTTACTGTAATTCATAAAAGAAAGTTCAAAATGATAACATGTATTACAATGTGATTTGTTTCTGATTAAATTCACTAAGGTACAGGATGGTTAAGGTATCCGAATCAAAATTTTTTATTAAGTCTTAAATGGATGAATGGAAATCGAGATTTTCAGAAAGCATATCTCCACTTATGTTGAACATATTGAGTGCTGAAACTGGCAGCAGAAGCATGACAACAGCCTGAAAGAAAATGGTGTATTCTTTTTGAATGGAAGAGTATTTATTTATTATGTAAGTGGATTTTTGCAAAATTTGTTGAACAACTTGATGATGTGGAACTGACACAAAGTTAAATCATCAAAGTTACTCCATCTTCTGGACATCCTCTGCTGGACGTCAGCAAGATGGAGTAAATTACCACACATTACAGGAGTCAATGGAGATAATACAGAGCTTTTGTGAGGACTATGTGATTTCCGAGAACATAAGGATACCATGATCTTTGTCTGGACTTTTTTGTGGGACTATCTTAAGGAAAGAATGTACTGTAACAAACCATTCATGATTAACATCTTAGGGAATAACATTAGGAATGAGGGGTTAAAACATTGATTGTGCAACATTGAGATGCATTATCAATAACATGCAGCAAAGTGTTGGCATATGCCTGACAGAAGGTGACAGCCATTTCCATACTTGCTGTGATGTAATGCATGATGCATTCAACACTTCCTGAAAATTTCATCAATTTCTATTCATTTGTTTAAGATTTATTGCATCAGATGTTAATTATGCAAAGTTCCTGATATCTTGATATTTCTGTGTGACTTCTTTTTCTGTGGACTGTTTGTTGTTATAGTTTAGACAGTTAGTTATTTGCAAAATTTGTTATTTGTATCTGCTAAAGAGCTTTATACTGTGTTTACAATATTTTTAAGCATTTTGCAACCTGCTTTGCAGAAATTTTAATTTTATGTTGAATAAGTTTTTGTAACCTTATTTTATTGGAGATGTATCCAGGTGGCTCCAAATATCAAAATCAATCAACTTTCTTACTTTAAATACAAAATTTTCAAATAGGTTAACATATCAAGATAATGATATTGGTTCTGGACTCCTTTTTATGGACTATCTTAATGAAAGAGTGGTCCTTCTGTCCAAGCCAGGTTGGTTGGAATCTTCTCGTTAATATGTTACTATAACTTGGATAAATGTATTTATCCTGTCCCTTTCCTCTAGTTAATATATTACATTCCCATTGCTACTTACATGTCAGACTAATCTGACTGAGTGAACATGGCTGATTATGACGTATACTGTAGTCACTTCTGTCATTTGCATCCCAGATAGGGCCTTGAAAAGTTTTTCTCACTGTCTTTACTGATAATACAGACCTTAATATTCTTCCAATTTCTTGAATAAGATAAGGCAAATTCTAAATAAAAAATAGAAAACAGACTTCGGTTATTACATTAATAACAAATCTGGCTTCATAAAATTAAATTTATTAGTTACGGAAAATGTTACTTGCTCTTAACATTGATCTATTCTGTATAAATAGTCTTACAGATAATGTTTTAAAAAATGGTTGACAAGAAAAGTAACATTCTTTAATTCTTATACATAAATTTACATACACTTTCCTTTATGTGGGTTTAAAATATGTGGCATTGACATGTTTGTGTAAAATATATAAATTATATTTTGGATGCATTTAGAATGTGGGTGGAAATTTATTGACTTGATATTACTGTTGGCATACAGAATTTCATCACTTTTATTCACAACTTAACATTTATTTAAATATTTTATAAAATAATAGTGTTTTATCCATTTTCAAATAATAATATAAATCTATGCTTTAGCAGATACAAATAACAAATTTTCATGGATGGTCTTGGTTGGATAAGTTGGATCCTGTTTACACCATCCAACCACTCTATTGTGGGCTTAGCCAAACCCATGATGGGTCTGAAGAAATGTTTTCTTGTACTCATGGGACAGAAAGAATGGAAATATCCTGTTCAAACTACTTGTGAAAATTTCTGATGTTACGACCAGAACCAGATCCTCTCACAATAGTAGCTGATGCCTGTAATACATTAGTCAACCAGTTATCTATATTAATAAACATTATTAATAGAATCATTTTTAAAAAATTTATATGAAAGTATTAATGAATTTCTTATTTTTTAGTGTGGTATTCTGCTGAGTATATTATTGATAATTGCCAGTGGTCTTATTACTCGAGCCGCTTGCCACTTACTCCTCAAGTCAGCAATTATGGCTAGAAGAAGAAATTTTGAGTTTTTAGGTTAGTGTTTCACAATTTTCTTGACATTAAATTGTACAACTAATCACTTAAAAATGTAAATAAATGTCACAAATTATTTTCAAGAAAAAAATCAGAAATTCTTTAAAATATTGAATTGTGAAATTGTCGAGATTTTCCAATATTTTATGTCATTATACAAATAATAATAATTATAAAATTATTATTTTAATTAAGGAAATAATTTGTTGTTGAAAGCACTTTAAAGTGCTTATTGGATCAGCCTTAGCTTATAAAATATTTAGAATATCTTCAGAATATAAGAAGATTATTAATAAGAAAATTTTGCTTGATTGAAGTTTTCCTATAAGTATCTAAGTATTTTTGAATGCTTCTTAGCTCATTTACAAGATTACTTTCAATCCAATGAATGTTTAATCTTTAAATATTCACAAATATTGATGCATAATAATTTGAGTAATTAGAATCAATTTGTAATGAACTAAAGTAAGCTCAAAAATGATTAGATGTTAGATATTTGTAGAATAAATTGCCAATAAAACAGAATTCTATCATCATAGCTTTCAGTATATGACATTAAATAGCATTTTAATTTTAGCTTTTCATACATTTGGGCCCACTGGTAAACTCGTCGTAGAAATCGGGTAAGTCGATATTTTGTTTAAATTTTCCAAAATTATGAATAAAATAACTCTGTTAGTATTTTGCTCTTACAGAAGAATTTGAATATCTTATAAAGAATTTTGATAAGGTGCAAGATTCATTTAGATAAAATTTTCTTCCACACAACTAAAACAAATAATTATTTATGGTTTTAGTACCATTATCTTTGAAGACTGACATATGAGTCTGCAAACTGTCTCATGTACATGACAACCAGAAAGCTGATGCAATAAATCAGCTTGTTGTTTTGTATATTTTTGTTTACATAACAAATCAATGTACCTTTGTGTACATGCTAAATATTTACACACTTGCATATTCATTTTCAAGGATATCAAAAGTAAATTATCAAAAAAATTATGCTATTTAATGCATTATTTAGTAATAATAATATACAGTCTGGCAGTAAAAAATATTAAAACATTTTTTTTATTTTTGATTTGAAAAAAATACTACAAATTGCAATGACTGTGGTGTATTTTACAAATCAGATCACTCGTTAAATAATATCTGTGCACAAACTGGGATTGAAACACTCAGTTTTACAAAGAATAACTTGAATTGGCTGAATTTATTGAATTAAATGGTTTTTAATTTATTATTATTATTATTATTAAATTTTCGAAAACTAAATTGATAAATAATTAGTGAAATAATTATTTTTCCTTCATTGATTTTTAACTTATATTTGAATGCAAGTTTAAATCCCTTACAATAGAATAAAACATCTGGAAAGTATTTTGGTGTAAATAATTTTTTGAACTCCTCGTAAAAGGTACGATATTATTCTCATATTCGGTATTCAGGGTGCATAGTAGACCCCACTTAACTGACAAGTGCAGATAGCTACAGTTATGAACATGATGTATAGTTATAGTAACACGACTGTGTATTACTAGACAAGAATACTGGCAACACCCCAGTGGTAAAATTTGTAAGCTAGCACTCCCATTTTAAAAACAATGAACAATAAGAAAAAACTCTGAGTCGTAGAGTGTTACTGATTTAGTAGAAAAGGAACACGAATAATGTGAATGGAAAGTGTGAAATACTAATGTGCGTGTCAAGCACAGACGGTTAAATGTGTATTTCTGATGTGTTCATTCATGTGTTCTCATTCATTTTTCTTGCATTTAGTTATCATGTGTATTTTTCATTATCCTATGTCTTTGTGCTGTATTTATTACTGTGTTTGTATGTTGCTTGCATGCCAATGTATAAGGACTTTACTATGCATCCTGTATAGTTATTTCCTGTTTTTGAAGATTCAATGTATGATTCTCTAAAGAAGTTTTTCATATACACTATGTTGTGTTAGTAAATTTCATGTTTTTTAAAATGTTTTAAGACTTATTTTGTGTCTTAAAACATGAAATTAATAAAATTTTTGTGATAATGAGAATTTAATTTTATAATATAAACAATTTATTTTTAGTTAATGCTATTAATATATTTAGTATTTATGTTAATTTAGTTAGAATTTTAATAATTGAATATTTCATTTTAATATCTGATTATTTATTTAGAATCATTGGATTTCTTATTGGAGTTTGTGTAGCATTTTTTGTAGTAGTCGGAGACTTAAGCCCGGCCCTTATTGCTAAATTTCTAATGGTTGAAGTAAGTAATTTTTCTGCAATTTAATTGTGAATGGTAGCCAATAGAATTATATATTATAAACTAATTATCTTAAGAGGAAGAAGTAATATCATAGCATTGAGTTGAATGGCTATGTCATAAGATATTCAATCATTTTGAAAGATCTGGTTCATTGGACATGATCGTTTTAGATCAAATTGATTCATTTCTTGTCCTCAATAATGCTAGACAATTTAGTGCAAATCATATTTGTTCATAATGAATGAAATTGAGACTAGATAGATATAATTTTCCATGTTTATACTTCATATTATTGAAACCAATCCAATTAAAAATGTGGTGGCTTAATATTGTTTCACACTATAAAATCAATTTAATGACGTTTAACACTTATATCAGATTACCAGTTTATCTTGAATGTAATTAAACATGTGCACTTGCATAGTTATATATGCACATGCACACACAAATATGATTATTTACACATACATAAATCACTTAGTGTTATATTGGATAAATTGAAGAAATATGGAGGGTGGAGTAACAGCTCAAATTTTATATCTCAAATATGATCAATAATATAGCAAGGAAAGTATTACTCACTATTCTGGGTTCATCACCTGGACCTAAAATAAAGTATGAAAAGAGAGTTTTACTGTTATGCTATTAGATTACTTGCAGTATCTAATAGCATAACAATAACAAATTCAAATAAAAATTGAAGTATGAGATATATGCCTCAAGGCTTAGACAAATGAATTTACATGTACAGGCTGCGAGTCTCATGTACTGTGCTTCACTTGTAGATTGGTATCAGTTTATTTTGCATTAATTTTTAATTAAACTACATTTGCAAAAATGCTCTGTGAGGTACTACTGGTAATCAGTCATTGAGGCACAAACCTTTTTAGTGAGTCACACAAGTGATACCTTGTGGCAATTAACATGTTAATAGAAATATTTTAAAATCTCTCGATCTAGCTTAGAGGTTTGAAAATGTTTTCCACTGGATGAAAAGTTTCCATTAAAATAGAATGTTCATGGCTTCTGTAATTAACTTTATTGTTTATTATTTCACTAAAAAACTGCAATTAGAATGTATCAATATATTATGTTACCTTAATCTGTTTAACATTTTTATTACAAAAGTTATTTAATTTCTTTTGCAGAATACTTCACAGCTAAGAGCAGAAATATTAATATTTTTAGGTTTATTTGTTGCTTTTCCTCTTGGACTTCTAAGAAAAGTGGATAGTTTAACTAGTTTCAGTGCCATGTCTATAGGTTTTTATATGTTTTTGATTCTAATTGTAAGTATCATTTAAATATAAAGTGTTATATAAATAATAGTATTACATTTATATAAATATTAATGTATAAAAATATAAATATTATTTATATAAATAATAGTATTATGTGATATTTAATTTAGCAACTTCATCATCCTGTATTGTGTAACAAAAGTACTGATTTTAGGTTTGATAGGGCCTTATTGTTTGTAATAGAGAATGATCTCTGTAATTATGAAAATAGTTTACTAAAAAATAAGTATTTTGTTTCAATAATAATCAAAATATTTTATGAAATATTTCAAAATCGTTGAAACAATATGTGACTAAATGTTTTAGATTTTGAAATTATTTAAACATACAGCTATTAATTCAAGCAGATAAACTGTTGATTTTTCCTATATTTTTTTTATAGAATATAGAAAATATATATGTACTAAAAATTATTTATTAGTAATTCTCAGTGATACTAGACCACTCAATAGCAGGGTTCTAAGCAACTTCTCAGTTTACAGATAAAAACTTTCAGACACGGGTTTATGTCAGTTATGCCATAATTGGGCACATTGTCTGGTAAAGAAGCTTTAATGCAACTTGATAACCAAACCAATGATGTGATCTACTTCAAATGAAACAGGTTATTGTCAGTTTGATTAACCAGTTATTATTAAAGTCGTTTTACTGGGCAATGTGCCAAATACTTACTACAGGTGGCTGTCTTAGTGTAACAATAAAAAAATTCAATGTAAAGTAAGATATTGGAATAAATATTGCAAGACATAAAGTTTTTATAATACAGAAATAAATTTACGTTTATTTTATTGTTATTGTCTTAATTTATTAATTTATATTTATTTTTATGTGTAGTTGTATTTCCAAAAAACTATTGCCATATCTGATTAAAATTTAGAGATGAATATAATTTCTCCAATGCTAATTAGACCTTACTTGATTTTTAGTTAATTAATTAATGCCAAGTGATCTTTTAAATATTGGACTATAGAGCTTAATGTTAGCCCAATAATTTAGCAGATTGGCATTAATTGGTATAAGTATATATGGTGTAATATTTTAATGCAATTAAAATTTATTTCAAATAATCTGCATAATATAACTCTCTAAATTTTTATGTTAGATTGTAGGAGAAGCTTTACCAAAATTGTTAGCAGGCAGTTGGTGGAATCAAGTCAACTGGTGGCAACCTGCTGGATTATTGCCTTCTTTGCCTATATTTTCAATGGCTCTATCCTGCCAAACGTAAGTAAAATGTTTTAAATATAATAATAAAAATTTTCCACATTATATAAAAACATATTTGAAGATGTTTTGTGTTTTTGTTGATTTGAACTAATTATTGTAATAGCTTGTTTATATTAGTGAAAAATTCAGATTAGCAAGGTTACATAAAGAGAAAAGGAAGTCTGAAAGAACTACAAACAAATATAGTAAGACCCTGCTTAACACGGGGGATGCATTCCTAGATGACAAAACACTAAATGAAACAGCATTAAACGAAGTCATTTTAACATAGAGTAAATAGGAAAAGGGGACCAAAAATAAACAGATTTTACTTTAAGTTATTTTATATTAATTTGCATAATAATATATGCTAAATAACATAAACATATGCACACATAAGTGTAGTGTAAAGTTCATTATTTGTGATGAAGGTTTTGGCTCTTCTGAAATTCTTGTTTTTTGCAATAAAGTCTTGTAGTTTCATCTGTTGCTTTTTTTCTTTCCTTAAGCAAATATTGGTAGTAGAAGATTGCATTCAAAATGCCTCATTTTGCTTTTGCACTCCTTTCAAAATTTGGATCATTTGCTACAGTTTGATCAATGATTTTGGGTATCATTACCAAACTTTTACTAAGGAAATCTGTAGCAAGTTCTTTGGGTTCTTTGTTTTCAGAATCTCTATTTTCCAGTTCTACATGAATTCCTTGTTCTGCTAGTTCTTGAAGGTCATTATTGGTAAGGCTCTCACCAGAAACCTGCAGTAACTCCTCAATATCCTGCTCATCTACATCTCCTAGTCCTGTTGTATCAATTAGGTTGACAATTTGGTAAACGGTAGGCTCTTCTTGTTGAGAATTCTTGGCTACCTCTGGCCATACATTCTTCCACACTTCATTCATGCATTTATCAGTTAATTCTTGCCAAGTGAAATCAATATTTCTTATTGCATCTATGATGATATATTTTTTCCAAAATTGCACCACAAAAACATAGATTTAAACAAAGTAAGTGCTGTGACGAATTGCCACCTTCTGCCAATTGGTTTGTGTTTGGGAATAATCATATTATATATGAATCAATGAAATGCTGCGATAATTTAAATTAGCATAAATTTTAAGCCGTTTTTAAGGCTTCAAGCATACCACATTATATCAAATCAGTGTTAATCAAGACAGTGTTAAGCAGGGTCTTACTGTATATGTACCGTACATACAGGGTCCATATTGCCATCTTGCAGAAGCAGTGACCCTTTAAGAATATGCACGTGAAAAATTTTCCATTCTGTTTTAGTGGAATACCCTGTATGCACATTCAAACACTTCTTATGTTGTATTTGAAACATATATTTGTGTTGAAATGTATATTTTATATTACTTTTACAAATTCACATACATTAATAAAAGGTTACAAAAGTTNGGCGATGTTCCGACGGGAGTCGGGGCGCTATATCGTTCCACGCTGCGACTGAATGGGAAGATATCCCGACGGGAGTCGGGGCTCTAATATCGACCCTTGCTGGGACTGAAAAAGAATATATGATTTAGGTAGCTTTTTTACAGTGGATAAATAAAACTGAATGATATAAATGGTCGTACGAATGCTAAAAATTATCAAGACATGATCGGAGCCTATTATTTGCAACAGTTTAACAAAGGAAAACTTTGCTTATCGGCAAAAGATTTTTATGGAAGATTTTCTTTATTATATTTGCCAGCACGGGGATGATAATAATCGGACGGTAATTTTCTATGTCGCTTTTTGACTTTTTATTTTTATGTTTCGTTTTGACCATAATATAATTTAATTTATTCGGAAATGTTTCTTTTTCGAAGGATTAGTTTATCTAATAGGATGAAGGTGTAGGGATGATATCTACAATTGCTTTATGTCCATATTTAAATTATCTATGTCAGGAGTACGAGTTTTTAAGTTTATTATAGCGTAATAGACTTCACTTGCAGTTGTTTCTCCCAGTACTAAAGAATTTAGTATTCTTTTAGACGAATTTAACTTTAAAGATTGATTCACGCACAGTTAAGATATTCTGCAAAAGTTTCGGTTATAATTTCCTGGTCTTTTGTAGATTTCCGTTAACCAGCAATGATTTTATTTTTATGTCATCCTTCTATTTAGTTATATTATAAGGCAATTTTTAAATATTTTTCCAAAAATCTTCCGGAAAGTTGGTATTACTAAAAGATTGTGATAATAGCTTGATTCTTCTTTATGTATGCCGATTCTTATTTGTTTAGACAAATTTTTATTTCTAATTCTATGTTAATTCGTTGTTCTGAAGGTAATTACTTTTTTAATTCTTACAATAAGAATATTTTCCGTTTAACTTTCTGGAGAATTTTATGATTTTCTTTAAGAAAGTTTTCTTTTTAAATATATTATTTATTTCAAAATGTTTTTCAGGAAGGTATTTGTCTGTAAATATTAATAGCATAGACATCAGACAATCTGCAAGTTTATTCACTGAAAGGTCACTTGTATAATAATAATTCCAAGAGAAACGGGAAGAAAGAGCACCCCGTTATAGTTCGATTGATGAGTTAGTTATTTTGCGTCATTTTATTGTTTTTTTTTTCTTTTCTCGCTATATCTTTATCAGGAATGGAGACGAGTAAAGGAAGGTGGTCTGAAATAAATTAAGTATTGGTGGGCATTTTTCTAGATCTAATTCAATTTCTTGTCTCAATTCGAGTTTACGTAGTTGAAAATCTTCACTCGTTTCTTCATATGTTCTCTTTCATTTTTTCTGCGCTTCTATAGGTTAATATTTGTTGTTTTCTATTACAATACCCTCAGATATTTCTGGGAAATAGAGATTCTGAATAATAAATTTAAAAAAACCAAACTTTATTCGTTTCTAATTGTTGCACATTTTGAGTTTACAGTAAATTTCGAAAATAAACATATCCTTTCAATATATTTTATCTCGTTATTTCAATAGGATCATTTGGAGGGTGAATACTCCGCTGCAAACTAAAATCGAAGCAGAATCCTCCGAGTTGGAGCGTGCCGAATATTTGCCGAATATTTGCCGAGTTTTGTTTATTATTCTGCAGTTATAAGTTTAATAAAGAAAGCCATTGATAAACTGAAAAAAATATTTTAAACCCAAACATTTTCTGGAACGCCATCAGAGGTACAAATTTGAATTTGTTCCACGTTCTAAATAAAATAAAATGCAGTAGCTACAAAGAAAAATTCAAAAATCACACGTTAAACACGTCAATTAAGGTAATTTCACTTTCTTGTTAAATTATTTTAATTGGCAATTAATAAAATTGGAAAATGTTTCGGAATTGAATTACGTCAATATTTGTGTATTTAATTGATCTTAGGATAATTAAATACCGTTCGCTCTCAATTAATGTTTTAATTAAATTAATTCTTAAAGAAACTTTTAGCATTAATATAATAAATAATTCTATAATTTTCCTTCGGCATATTTACTGACACAAAGTGATTAGAATTTGGTATTGCTATCCAAGATATATTCAATTATTAAAAGTAAAGATTATTCTACAATTCAGTTGAAATACTTACACTTCCACGCTGCGAATCGCCCATTCTTTTCTACGAAAATTTTGTTAAATTAAGAAGGACCAAAAAAAAAAAAACACTCTCTCGAACAAATGAAGGCTTTAGAAGATTCGAATTTATTTCATAAAAAATTCTTCTGAAATGTTCGAAATATTTTAAATACTGCAAACAAAGTAAATTAGTTTCGATTTTGTGTTTTAAATGCCAATTAAACCAACAACTAAAGTATAGAAATATACGAAATGACGTAGGTAGTGTTTATGTGAACAATTTTATTTTAACACTGACTAATGCGATGATATACTCTGTTTTTTTAATTGCAGGTGGCAACACTTTCTGAAAGTAAGTTTAAACAGGATTACTAGAATATAAGGCTGAAAAACTCACGTGAGAAGTGTGTCGAAAAACATGCGCTTAAAGTAGGAATGAATCGGGTGGGGATAGGTGTACTGTACTCACGGTAATTGGTTGCAGGTGTAACGTGACTTTTACGTCACTCTCCCCCACTGTTACAGTGGGGAGAGTGACGTAATACGGATATACGAGTAACGTCGGATATACGAGTAATACAGTTAAAACATTTAACTGTATTACTCGTATATCCGACGTAAACCCTGGTTTATGCATATTTATTTATTGATCTCAAATATACGTATGTATGAAATTAAAACATTATTAATTAAAATCCAGAGAATGCCGTAAAAAAATTACAGTGCATGCTGTAAAAAATGCTCGATCGACTTTAACTATTTGGAGGATATGGGCATGGAAAGCGACCGATGGGCTTTTTTCCATGCCCATCGGTCCACCAGATAGCGAGAGACAGGGCTCGACATCGTCCCTGAAATCTTCATGGTAATTTACTGGCCCGGATTCTATCCCGGGTTTTCCAAAGCGCGCACGCACGCCGGCCGTCGACTTCATTAAATTGCAATGACTAATTTAAAAATTAAATCATAGCAAAGTACACTAAGTTGCTAATTCACTTTTAGAAAAATGTTGATTTGTCACACTTCAAATAGTCATAATATAAAATATTTACACGTAAAAACTTTTAAAATCTATGTTAGAATTTTCAATATGGCTACCGATAGCATTGAGATCAATATGGTAAGTACTGTCTTGATTTTAACAATTGAACTCCTTTAAAAATAACTTTGTTTTTATTTTAATGCATTAAACGCGTTTTTTATTTATTGTAAGTGTTAACGCATTTTTATTAGATGCGTTATCCCTTATAAAAGAAATGAAGGGATGATCCATTGTAAACTGAATTCTGTCGACGTAGAAATCACTTGTTTGCTTACGCACGGCAATGTTACACGTGGGCGATCTGCTAACTTTGAAATCAGTTTGAAAATATTTTCAAACTGATTTCGAAGTGACTGATCTTCAGTACTTATAATTAATAACGATGTAGTTATTCGGGGTCATTTTTACTGCTAGTAGTGTGATCCGTTGTCGGCCGAATGGTTGAGGATGTTAGTGTCATCCCACTGCCTGAGGGACCCAAGATGGAATCCGGTGAGCTACTCAGGAATTTTTCATAGGTGATCTGTCCCGGATATGCCAAGTCCATTCTTTACTACTTGGCCTCCTTCGTTTTGGGCCTGGTTGAACCGATGACGGACATGATTAAATGATTGATTTGTTGGGAACGGCAAGCAAGACATGAGCGATTTGTCATGGGATATGCCTCCCGGGAGGATTTTCTATGGTAAACTGGATTATTTAGATGTTATTAAAATGAAGAAAACCAGGAAAACTCCACGAGGTCCACCCATTGGTGAAGCTCAATCCGCAACCCCAGACACCAGTGTACAGCATCCTCTTAAGTGCCGTCAGGACGAAAGTGTCAAAAAAAAGTTTGTCCTATTTGTGAAAAATAGTAGATAGCCTGGAATTACATGGAATTTTTCTAAGAAAACGTTCTAAAAACGAAGTTTTAGAACCGATTCGGGTGTTACAAACGTGAAGAAAACTTGAGTAACTTCATGTGACCAGCTCGTTGGCGAGGTGAGAATCCACGACCACAGAACATTGGTAGTGGATTTAACCATTAACAGTGTTAAGTGGTCGTGGATTTGACGTATAATAGTGTTAATGGCCCTCATCAGTTAGGTAATCATATTTTATATATAAGGCAGAAAATACTTACTTAACAATGTTACAAGATTCACACAGATATCCTTAAAGCTCACAATAACATTAAAATGATAATACAATGCTAAAAACCAATATCCAATAAACAGCAAGAGTCGAAATGCGTTTTAGGATGCATATCAGGCAATATTGGTTTCAATTGTCTGATAACCCTTCAATAACATTATTTACTGCTGTACTTAATTATAGAAAGTATATTGTATTACATATAAAGGGATTAAAGGCTAATTAAATTAAATTCAAGTATGTAATGAAACATAAGAGATATGCCATGTACTAAAAGAGTTTCGTGAGGAGAGAACAGTGATCGATCTCTGTGGTCTTGGGTGTATATATACAGTAGAACCTCGATTATCCGGACTAATTGGGGATGAAAGTAGTCTGGATAAGGAAAAATCCGGATAATCGAAACAAATGCTTTAATTAGTCTTTTAATGATAATACAACACGTTTTCTTTTCGATGACATATCGGTAATATTAAAAGTAAATACTGTATTTAAATCGTGATCAAATTTTTAAGAAACAAACGTTCGTATTCAATTTGGACTATTACTGACCTCCACTAACAGACTACCTATTGTTTAAAAGGCCCTCTGGTGACGCAAGAAGACGGATTTTATAAAATAAAAAGCAGTTGAAACTGCATTTTTATGAATAAAAATTTCACAAACTATTTATCGTTTTATGACTAGTAAAATTTTTTCGTCGCGTTCGCGGCGTTTAAGTAATGCATAAACCTTCGAAACGCGAGGCCCTTCGGACCGCGAGGCATAGGCAGTGGCCCAAGTTACCCATGCCTTACGCCGCCCTTGATCATAGAAATAATGTAATTTGAAAATAAAATTTTTTATAAATACGTATGTCAAGTTATATTTTTATTACGACGCAAAATATATTTAAAAGTTTACGACCACTGTGCTGGGTGAAACGTTGTTGAAAGAAAAAGTTATGCATTTCCTCACGTACATAAACAGTGTCGTAATTAGCCAAGTGCAAATCAGCAAATTCGTAAAATACAGTAGATCCCCCTATAAAACCGTTTCCTATAGTTATGATTCCTATAAAAATTGTGGCAGTATCCGTAAACAACGGTAAAAATAACTCCTATAATACGTAAAACGTCATCGGGCAGCCGAACTACTTTCCCGCCGTCCGTAGCGCCACGCTACGGAGAGATTTCTATCGTCTGGACAGTATTATATAAATTATATATAAATTAGGTACTGTACATATAATTATATATTAATTATATATAAATTAGGTACTGTATATATAATTATATATTAACTTAATTTATTGTAACTTTATTATAATTAAATATATATTTTTCGCCGTCTAGCGTCACGCTACGGCGAGTTAGGCGACCTATCGTCTGTCCAGTACTGTAATTTTATACATTTCTTGTGAAAGAAACATTTCTTATTTAACGGCCATAAAAATTATTTATATTAAGGATGTCTCCAAAGGTCAACGAAGTTTTCGCAGAAAAATAATATCAGAAATCGCGGCCGCGGTTTGATGCGCTGTTCCGCGACGAAACCAAGCTTTAGCAACGGGCGTAGTCGAACGGTACACACTCGGTAAGCAATCCTACAATTTTTTGTTTATAACGTAGTTTATACGGATTATTTTCAAAAAAATATACGTATTTTGGAAATGTTGAGTCGAATTAGTCTAGAATCGATTAATTTTATGAAAGAAAACCTTTCAAACAGCCGTAGTCCGTAAACTATGATTCCTACAAAATTGATTCATAAAGAACGGAACGTATCTACCGTCTTATAGGGGGATCTACTGTATTTGTTTATTTTGAACAATCCGGATAATCGAAAATCTGGATAATAGAGGTCCGGATAATGGAGGTTCTACTGTATATATATATACACTGTATATATATATTAAGTCTTCCCTCTCTTTGGGCACTAAGACAGCCTTTTTATCAAATCCACTATGAGAGACCCGGGATCGAATTCGGACGGATCGAAAACCCCAGGAATTTTTCTCGGGGCGTTATAGGCCTACGTTTATGGGGACTAGGCAAATTTGAATTAGGTGGCCCCACATACAGTATTCACTTCAGACATTTTTCTTCGAGGGAATTTTTTGAGGAAAAGCTTTTTTAAAAATAAAAGATCGGCTTGGGGCCGTCCCGTTGGCGGGGAACCAGGCAATTGCTCTTTTTTGCCCACAGGATAACGCGCCACTGGCAGGTTCGACTAGATATGTCGGGTCCCGCCCGTCACTACTCGGCCTATCCATTATAGATCCTGTGTAATCCATAATTGACTTTCTAAAATGGCCCTCTTAGTGATCACAGGGCGAAATAATTTAATGTTATAAATTTAAGTAAATATCGTACAAAATTATACAAAAAAAATTATAATTTCTTTAAATTATATTTACGCATTCTAAACAATTAATATAATTCGATTACTTAAATTATCGCCATTAATCGATTAATCGTATAATAAAATTTTAGTTCGTATATAATCCGAGAGGTGTCGCTAGCCAATTTTTTCGACCAGATGGCGAGAAATGTGTTTAGTTTGACGTGTTCTTGCAGTCGAGCGATAAGCAAAAACCATTGAATTAAAAACTCAATTGCGTAATAAAAAGGTGCGTTTTCGCTTCTAGATAATACAGAAATAGATAAATTTAAGATATTTCCGATAATTGTGCAACTGTACGTTGACTTTTGTACCGGAATAAAGTTTGTACACGTGATTTGCGTAAGAATCTTATCGAAATCAATTTATATTTTAATTAAAATGTCGTATATTTAAAATGGATATTGATGCGGGCGTAAGTAATGTTTCGTGCCAGGTTTTACCTTTGCGTATGTTAAATGCGATGTGTATTAATTAAAGGAAGTGACTCTATCCTCGTGTTTTTTTGTTTGTTTGAAATTGACACTTTTTCGGTTTTTAGTGTCTTCCGTATGCATGCTGATTCGTAATAATCAGTATGACGGCTTGACCGTTACAATGTGTCAAATGGCACCTTTTATACTAAATTATGTTTCCGTTTTTAATTTTTCGTCATTGATTTGCCTAGAAATAGTTTAGACTTCTTGTTAATAATATTTATCATCTATTGTAAGTAGGGAATTTTCGTATTAAACAATAATTGCAGAAAGGTTTTTTTCCATTTCCGTCTTGGGTTTGGTCGACCTGTGGCGAGGATGCCGGACGTTTACCGGACGGATCGTTCCTCAAAAAATTTCCTAGGCTTTTTGGTCTTCCCGGATTCGTTCTGTTTCTCCTGGTGCGGTGGGCCGACTCCTTAACAGCTCGACCCATCGTTGATTGTGAACGGGCCGAGAAAAGAGAGAGGGGACTTGGTCGATTAAAATACGATTGGTCCGCAACCCACGTGCTCTCCAAAACTCATAAAAATATATGAATAAAGCTATAGCCTGTGCACTGAAAGAGTGGGATGTGAATTGGTTCTAGTGGGAAGGGTCAATGTTGGATGAAAGAGGTAGAAGATATAGAAGTTGACACTTGGATCACAGTAATAAGATTTGTAAAACAATAAAATCATTTATAATAACAATATAAAAACATTTTAAAAATGTAAAACAAAATAGGAGGAGGAGATCAAATTCATGTCTTGACTTTCACACGTCTTTCATCTCTTTTGTCTGACGCCACCTTTTCTGCTCAGTATGACTTATGTCTACTCTCAATATGGAAAAGAGAATGGTTTAACTCTGTATGTACTGTACTTAGTAAAGAAGCATCAATACATATACAGGTACAAACCCACTGCTTCTACAAGTATTAGACTGTTAAGTAAACAGCTGGCAAGATATTTTAGTTACCTTTATCTTATCTAGGATCACTAGATGTTTATTTGATAGTGTCAAATGGGATAAAATAAGGCATCAAGAAAAAAAATCTGATACTTCGACATTAAGTTTCTTTGGTCCTTGTTGTTTTCTTCAGTGTGAAAACAAAATGAGAACTTTTGTATTGCTTACTGACTAGGGCAAGAATGATCAATTTGATACTTAAATGCATCGAGTGCATTCCAGTTGTATAGAAGATAGATAAAATAGATTCCTTTTTTGTTGTGGGCAGAACTGCAAACATGAGGACATTTATTAGAATTGTTGAGTACCTAAAAAAAGAAAGATTGATGCAATTGACATTTTTATGTGTTCTTACTTTTAATATTTATGTTTATTTTACAATTTTTAAGACTTTTATGCCTACAGAACTTTAATTTTAGAATTTTTATATTGTCTAATGGAAGTTTAAATTGTGTCTGATGGCTTCCAAATTATATATAATTCAGATTAAACAATTACTTAAATTCATTCTATTTTTTTTTTTCCTTTTTAAGTTAAATAAAACTGCTAGAATAGGAAAACTGAAATATTAATTAAATTGACATTATATTAAAAATTGAAATGTAAATTATTGAAAAAAATACTTGTTTTGTGTGTATATAACTAAGTTTGAAACTTTTTTCTTTTGTTTTAATCGTTTTTGTAGGATTTTAACACGAGTCCGGCCATGAGTACGATTACGTGTATGTGTCTGAGGAGTGTTATTAACCTCGGGAACAGTATTATTGGCGTCAGTATATTAGCCATGCCGTATTGTTTTAAAAAGGTAACTATATTTATTTTGAAATAAATTAATAATTACAATCTGAACCTTGATTCATGTACAGAATTGCATTAACCAAGGTGAGCTTGTAAGCAAATACACTACTTTTCTTTTACTGTAATTCATAAAAGAAAGTTCAAAATGATAACATGTATTACAATGTGATTTGTTTCTGATTAAATTCACTAAGGTACAGGATGGTTAAGGTATCCGAATCAAAATTTTTTATTAAGTCTTAAATGGATGAATGGAAATCGAGATTTTCAGAAAGCATATCTCCACTTATGTTGAACATATTGAGTGCTGAAACTGGCAGCAGAAGCATGACAACAGCCTGAAAGAAAATGGTGTATTCTTTTTGAATGGAAGAGTATTTATTTATTATGTAAGTGGATTTTTGCAAAATTTGTTGAACAACTTGATGATGTGGAACTGACACAAAGTTAAATCATCAAAGTTACTCCATCTTCTGGACATCCTCTGCTGGACGTCAGCAAGATGGAGTAAATTACCACACATTACAGGAGTCAATGGAGATAATACAGAGCTTTTGTGAGGACTATGTGATTTCCGAGAACATAAGGATACCATGATCTTTGTCTGGACTTTTTTGTGGGACTATCTTAAGGAAAGAATGTACTGTAACAAACCATTCATGATTAACATCTTAGGGAATAACATTAGGAATGAGGGGTTAAAACATTGATTGTGCAACATTGAGATGCATTATCAATAACATGCAGCAAAGTGTTGGCATATGCCTGACAGAAGGTGACAGCCATTTCCATACTTGCTGTGATGTAATGCATGATGCATTCAACACTTCCTGAAAATTTCATCAATTTCTATTCATTTGTTTAAGATTTATTGCATCAGATGTTAATTATGCAAAGTTCCTGATATCTTGATATTTCTGTGTGACTTCTTTTTCTGTGGACTGTTTGTTGTTATAGTTTAGACAGTTAGTTATTTGCAAAATTTGTTATTTGTATCTGCTAAAGAGCTTTATACTGTGTTTACAATATTTTTAAGCATTTTGCAACCTGCTTTGCAGAAATTTTAATTTTATGTTGAATAAGTTTTTGTAACCTTATTTTATTGGAGATGTATCCAGGTGGCTCCAAATATCAAAATCAATCAACTTTCTTACTTTAAATACAAAATTTTCAAATAGGTTAACATATCAAGATAATGATATTGGTTCTGGACTCCTTTTTATGGACTATCTTAATGAAAGAGTGGTCCTTCTGTCCAAGCCAGGTTGGTTGGAATCTTCTCGTTAATATGTTACTATAACTTGGATAAATGTATTTATCCTGTCCCTTTCCTCTAGTTAATATATTACATTCCCATTGCTACTTACATGTCAGACTAATCTGACTGAGTGAACATGGCTGATTATGACGTATACTGTAGTCACTTCTGTCATTTGCATCCCAGATAGGGCCTTGAAAAGTTTTTCTCACTGTCTTTACTGATAATACAGACCTTAATATTCTTCCAATTTCTTGAATAAGATAAGGCAAATTCTAAATAAAAAATAGAAAACAGACTTCGGTTATTACATTAATAACAAATCTGGCTTCATAAAATTAAATTTATTAGTTACGGAAAATGTTACTTGCTCTTAACATTGATCTATTCTGTATAAATAGTCTTACAGATAATGTTTTAAAAAATGGTTGACAAGAAAAGTAACATTCTTTAATTCTTATACATAAATTTACATACACTTTCCTTTATGTGGGTTTAAAATATGTGGCATTGACATGTTTGTGTAAAATATATAAATTATATTTTGGATGCATTTAGAATGTGGGTGGAAATTTATTGACTTGATATTACTGTTGGCATACAGAATTTCATCACTTTTATTCACAACTTAACATTTATTTAAATATTTTATAAAATAATAGTGTTTTATCCATTTTCAAATAATAATATAAATCTATGCTTTAGCAGATACAAATAACAAATTTTCATGGATGGTCTTGGTTGGATAAGTTGGATCCTGTTTACACCATCCAACCACTCTATTGTGGGCTTAGCCAAACCCATGATGGGTCTGAAGAAATGTTTTCTTGTACTCATGGGACAGAAAGAATGGAAATATCCTGTTCAAACTACTTGTGAAAATTTCTGATGTTACGACCAGAACCAGATCCTCTCACAATAGTAGCTGATGCCTGTAATACATTAGTCAACCAGTTATCTATATTAATAAACATTATTAATAGAATCATTTTTAAAAAATTTATATGAAAGTATTAATGAATTTCTTATTTTTTAGTGTGGTATTCTGCTGAGTATATTATTGATAATTGCCAGTGGTCTTATTACTCGAGCCGCTTGCCACTTACTCCTCAAGTCAGCAATTATGGCTAGAAGAAGAAATTTTGAGTTTTTAGGTTAGTGTTTCACAATTTTCTTGACATTAAATTGTACAACTAATCACTTAAAAATGTAAATAAATGTCACAAATTATTTTCAAGAAAAAAATCAGAAATTCTTTAAAATATTGAATTGTGAAATTGTCGAGATTTTCCAATATTTTATGTCATTATACAAATAATAATAATTATAAAATTATTATTTTAATTAAGGAAATAATTTGTTGTTGAAAGCACTTTAAAGTGCTTATTGGATCAGCCTTAGCTTATAAAATATTTAGAATATCTTCAGAATATAAGAAGATTATTAATAAGAAAATTTTGCTTGATTGAAGTTTTCCTATAAGTATCTAAGTATTTTTGAATGCTTCTTAGCTCATTTACAAGATTACTTTCAATCCAATGAATGTTTAATCTTTAAATATTCACAAATATTGATGCATAATAATTTGAGTAATTAGAATCAATTTGTAATGAACTAAAGTAAGCTCAAAAATGATTAGATGTTAGATATTTGTAGAATAAATTGCCAATAAAACAGAATTCTATCATCATAGCTTTCAGTATATGACATTAAATAGCATTTTAATTTTAGCTTTTCATACATTTGGGCCCACTGGTAAACTCGTCGTAGAAATCGGGTAAGTCGATATTTTGTTTAAATTTTCCAAAATTATGAATAAAATAACTCTGTTAGTATTTTGCTCTTACAGAAGAATTTGAATATCTTATAAAGAATTTTGATAAGGTGCAAGATTCATTTAGATAAAATTTTCTTCCACACAACTAAAACAAATAATTATTTATGGTTTTAGTACCATTATCTTTGAAGACTGACATATGAGTCTGCAAACTGTCTCATGTACATGACAACCAGAAAGCTGATGCAATAAATCAGCTTGTTGTTTTGTATATTTTTGTTTACATAACAAATCAATGTACCTTTGTGTACATGCTAAATATTTACACACTTGCATATTCATTTTCAAGGATATCAAAAGTAAATTATCAAAAAAATTATGCTATTTAATGCATTATTTAGTAATAATAATATACAGTCTGGCAGTAAAAAATATTAAAACATTTTTTTTATTTTTGATTTGAAAAAAATACTACAAATTGCAATGACTGTGGTGTATTTTACAAATCAGATCACTCGTTAAATAATATCTGTGCACAAACTGGGATTGAAACACTCAGTTTTACAAAGAATAACTTGAATTGGCTGAATTTATTGAATTAAATGGTTTTTAATTTATTATTATTATTATTATTAAATTTTCGAAAACTAAATTGATAAATAATTAGTGAAATAATTATTTTCCCTTCATTGATTTTTAACTTATATTTGAATGCAAGTTTAAATCCCTTACAATAGAATAAAACATCTGGAAAGTATTTTGGTGTAAATAATTTTTTGAACTCCTCGTAAAAGGTACGATATTATTCTCATATTCGGTATTCAGGGTGCATAGTAGACCCCACTTAACTGACAAGTGCAGATAGCTACAGTTATGAACATGATGTATAGTTATAGTAACACGACTGTGTATTACTAGACAAGAATACTGGCAACACCCCAGTGGTAAAATTTGTAAGCTAGCACTCCCATTTTAAAAACAATGAACAATAAGAAAAAACTCTGAGTCGTAGAGTGTTACTGATTTAGTAGAAAAGGAACACGAATAATGTGAATGGAAAGTGTGAAATACTAATGTGCGTGTCAAGCACAGACGGTTAAATGTGTATTTCTGATGTGTTCATTCATGTGTTCTCATTCATTTTTCTTGCATTTAGTTATCATGTGTATTTTTCATTATCCTATGTCTTTGTGCTGTATTTATTACTGTGTTTGTATGTTGCTTGCATGCCAATGTATAAGGACTTTACTATGCATCCTGTATAGTTATTTCCTGTTTTTGAAGATTCAATGTATGATTCTCTAAAGAAGTTTTTCATATACACTATGTTGTGTTAGTAAATTTCATGTTTTTTAAAATGTTTTAAGACTTATTTTGTGTCTTAAAACATGAAATTAATAAAATTTTTGTGATAATGAGAATTTAATTTTATAATATAAACAATTTATTTTTAGTTAATGCTATTAATATATTTAGTATTTATGTTAATTTAGTTAGAATTTTAATAATTGAATATTTCATTTTAATATCTGATTATTTATTTAGAATCATTGGATTTCTTATTGGAGTTTGTGTAGCATTTTTTGTAGTAGTCGGAGACTTAAGCCCGGCCCTTATTGCTAAATTTCTAATGGTTGAAGTAAGTAATTTTTCTGCAATTTAATTGTGAATGGTAGCCAATAGAATTATATATTATAAACTAATTATCTTAAGAGGAAGAAGTAATATCATAGCATTGAGTTGAATGGCTATGTCATAAGATATTCAATCATTTTGAAAGATCTGGTTCATTGGACATGATCGTTTTAGATCAAATTGATTCATTTCTTGTCCTCAATAATGCTAGACAATTTAGTGCAAATCATATTTGTTCATAATGAATGAAATTGAGACTAGATAGATATAATTTTCCATGTTTATACTTCATATTATTGAAACCAATCCAATTAAAAATGTGGTGGCTTAATATTGTTTCACACTATAAAATCAATTTAATGACATTTAACACTTATATCAGATTACCAGTTTATCTTGAATGTAATTAAACATGTGCACTTGCATAGTTATATATGCACATGCACACACAAATATGATTATTTACACATACATAAATCACTTAGTGTTATATTGGATAAATTGAAGAAATATGGAGGGTGGAGTAACAGCTCAAATTTTATATCTCAAATATGATCAATAATATAGCAAGGAAAGTATTACTCACTATTCTGGGTTCATCACCTGGACCTAAAATAAAGTATGAAAAGAGAGTTTTACTGTTATGCTATTAGATTACTTGCAGTATCTAATAGCATAACAATAACAAATTCAAATAAAAATTGAAGTATGAGATATATGCCTCAAGGCTTAGACAAATGAATTTACATGTACAGGCTGCGAGTCTCATGTACTGTGCTTCACTTGTAGATTGGTATCAGTTTATTTTGCATTAATTTTTAATTAAACTACATTTGCAAAAATGCTCTGTGAGGTACTACTGGTAATCAGTCATTGAGGCACAAACCTTTTTAGTGAGTCACACAAGTGATACCTTGTGGCAATTAACATGTTAATAGAAATATTTTAAAATCTCTCGATCTAGCTTAGAGGTTTGAAAATGTTTTCCACTGGATGAAAAGTTTCCATTAAAATAGAATGTTCATGGCTTCTGTAATTAACTTTATTGTTTATTATTTCACTAAAAAACTGCAATTAGAATGTATCAATATATTATGTTACCTTAATCTGTTTAACATTTTTATTACAAAAGTTATTTAATTTCTTTTGCAGAATACTTCACAGCTAAGAGCAGAAATATTAATATTTTTAGGTTTATTTGTTGCTTTTCCTCTTGGACTTCTAAGAAAAGTGGATAGTTTAACTAGTTTCAGTGCCATGTCTATAGGTTTTTATATGTTTTTGATTCTAATTGTAAGTATCATTTAAATATAAAGTGTTATATAAATAATAGTATTACATTTATATAAATATTAATGTATAAAAATATAAATATTATTTATATAAATAATAGTATTATGTGATATTTAATTTAGCAACTTCATCATCCTGTATTGTGTAACAAAAGTACTGATTTTAGGTTTGATAGGGCCTTATTGTTTGTAATAGAGAATGATCTCTGTAATTATGAAAATAGTTTACTAAAAAATAAGTATTTTGTTTCAATAATAATCAAAATATTTTATGAAATATTTCAAAATCGTTGAAACAATATGTGACTAAATGTTTTAGATTTTGAAATTATTTAAACATACAGCTATTAATTCAAGCAGATAAACTGTTGATTTTTCCTATATTTTTTTTATAGAATATAGAAAATATATATGTACTAAAAATTATTTATTAGTAATTCTCAGTGATACTAGACCACTCAATAGCAGGGTTCTAAGCAACTTCTCAGTTTACAGATAAAAACTTTCAGACACGGGTTTATGTCAGTTATGCCATAATTGGGCACATTGTCTGGTAAAGAAGCTTTAATGCAACTTGATAACCAAACCAATGATGTGATCTACTTCAAATGAAACAGGTTATTGTCAGTTTGATTAACCAGTTATTATTAAAGTCGTTTTACTGGGCAATGTGCCAAATACTTACTACAGGTGGCTGTCTTAGTGTAACAATAAAAAAATTCAATGTAAAGTAAGATATTGGAATAAATATTGCAAGACATAAAGTTTTTATAATACAGAAATAAATTTACGTTTATTTTATTGTTATTGTCTTAATTTATTAATTTATATTTATTTTTATGTGTAGTTGTATTTCCAAAAAACTATTGCCATATCTGATTAAAATTTAGAGATGAATATAATTTCTCCAATGCTAATTAGACCTTACTTGATTTTTAGTTAATTAATTAATGCCAAGTGATCTTTTAAATATTGGACTATAGAGCTTAATGTTAGCCCAATAATTTAGCAGATTGGCATTAATTGGTATAAGTATATATGATGTAATATTTTAATGCAATTAAAATTTATTTCAAATAATCTACATAATATAACTCTAAATTTTTATGTTAGATTGTAGGAGAAGCTTTACCAAAATTGTTAGCAGGCAGTTGGTGGAATCAAGTCAACTGGTGGCAACCTGCTGGATTATTGCCTTCTTTGCCTATATTTTCAATGGCTCTATCCTGCCAAACGTAAGTAAAATGTTTTAAATATAATAATAAAAATTTTCCACATTATATAAAAACATATTTGAAGATGTTTTGTGTTTTTGTTGATTTGAACTAATTATTGTAATAGCTTGTTTATATTAGTGAAAAATTCAGATTAGAAAGGTTACATAAAGAGAAAAGGAAGTCTGAAAGAACTACAAACAAATATAGTAAGACCCTGCTTAACACGGGGGATGCATTCCTAGATGACAAAACACTAAATGAAACAGCATTAAACGAAGTCATTTTAACATAGAGTAAATAGGAAAAGGGGACCAAAAATAAACAGATTTTACTTTAAGTTATTTTATATTAATTTGCATAATAATATATGCTAAATAACATAAACATATGCACACATAAGTGTAGTGTAAAGTTCATTATTTGTGATGAAGGTTTTGGCTCTTCTGAAATTCTTGTTTTTTGCAATAAAGTCTTGTAGTTTCATCTGTTGCTTTTTTTCTTTCCTTAAGCAAATATTGGTAGTAGAAGATTGCATTCAAAATGCCTCATTTTGCTTTTGCACTCCTTTCAAAATTTGGATCATTTGCTACAGTTTGATCAATGATTTTGGGTATCATTACCAAACTTTTACTAAGGAAATCTGTAGCAAGTTCTTTGGGTTCTTTGTTTTCAGAATCTCTATTTTCCAGTTCTACATGAATTCCTTGTTCTGCTAGTTCTTGAAGGTCATTATTGGTAAGGCTCTCACCAGAAACCTGCAGTAACTCCTCAATATCCTGCTCATCTACATCTCCTAGTCCTGTTGTATCAATTAGGTTGACAATTTGGTAAACGGTAGGCTCTTCTTGTTGAGAATTCTTGGCTACCTCTGGCCATACATTCTTCCACACTTCATTCATGCATTTATCAGTTAATTCTTGCCAAGTGAAATCAATATTTCTTATTGCATCTATGATGATATATTTTTTCCAAAATTGCACCACAAAAACATAGATTTAAACAAAGTAAGTGCTGTGACGAATTGTCACCTTCTGCCAATTGGTTTGTGTTTGGGAATAATCATATTATATATGAATCAATGAAATGCTGCGATAATTTAAATTAGCATAAATTTTAAGCCGTTTTTAAGGCTTCAAGCATACCACATTATATCAAATCAGTGTTAATCAAGACAGTGTTAAGCAGGGTCTTACTGTATATGTACCGTACATACAGGGTCCATATTGCCATCTTGCAGAAGCAGTGACCCTTTAAGAATATGCACGTGAAAAATTTTCCATTCTGTTTTAGTGGAATACCCTGTATGCACATTCAAACACTTCTTATGTTGTATTTGAAACATATATTTGTGTTGAAATGTATATTTTATATTACTTTTACAAATTCACATACATTAATAAAAGGTTACAAAAGTTTCAATTTATAATAATAAAATTTTATTGTTTTATAGACAACTTTTTGAATTTTTTGATCCATTAAATGATCCTTCTTTGAAAAAGATGAATTCTGTCATTAATGGTGCAGTACAGATGTGCTTAGCTGTTTATATATCTGTAAGTATCAACACTTATAACTAAGATATATTAAACATAATTTTATTTGTAAAACAAATTTATAATTTAACACTAAAAAATTTGCTATTGAGATTTTGTGGGACATTAAGAGTCAATCTATCACATCCTATATTAAAAAGATTACAGTAAAATAGCAACAGCACTTGTTTGATTTGTGCATGTGCATTTGCATGTGTTTTGTGTTTGTTTGTGTGTGTATACAGACAAACATATATATAATTATAACATATTGGACAAAGCTAATACATAGCTAAATGTTCAAAACCAAACTATCCACACTTTTCCAGCAAAGAATTTATTCAACCTCAGGCAGGCTTAGCTGCAAAATTCAAATATCTGATATTCTAAACTAGAATGCTCAACATGTTATGTGATGTTATTTACAAATTTGAAATCAATGAAATGTTAAGTTTTACATACTTTTTTTTTATAATATTAACATATAATATACAGATATCTTTTGTATAACACTAGTTATGTTCCAAAAAAAGTGCTATACTATGCTAATCTGTGCTATATGAAACAAAGGACAAATGCAAAGCACAGGGTTATGTTACAGAAATTAGCAGAAGTATGCTATTTTTTTTTTGTTACTAAGAGAAATATGTTTATTAAAACAATCGATAATTTATTTCCAATCAATAATTAATTAACAAGCACAATTAAAAAGTACTATATTACGTGTCAATATTAATTTTAGTTAAACTAGGGTGTTTCTTTTTATGAAGAAGCGTCATCTTGGCATTTTTGTCCATCTCAGTCAGATGTATCAGGAGCATTTTCGTATTTTTTATTTGTATTGTAAAAAGTTTTTATAGATGATGAAATAAAAATACGTTATTAATCAAAAATTTGTTCAGTTGGATACTGAGCGGCATTTTCCAGAATTTGTGTTCTAATACTGAATTGTTTGAGCACCAAGACAACATTGTATTTTTTTCATCATTTTTACAAACGAAGTAATTATTCATGGGCCTGTAATACCTACATTAAAAAAAAAGTTTAATAACACTTACACTTACCTAAAAATGTTTAAATAAACTTCACTAAATACGGAGATTTAGTGAAGTTTATTTAAACACGAAGATTAATCTGTAAAAAGAAAATACAGTGATGGTCTTAAGGGCTAAAGTGTGAGAACAATGACAACACTTGGTCAATAGGAATGTTAGTTCAAGTTTTTTCTTCCTTTCCTTATCAATTTTCATTAAATTAAACCTGATGAAAAGCACAAACTAATTTGAAAATTTGAATATTCTAAAATCCGTGGGCAAATTTGAGACGATGCGCATGCTTACTTGAATAAAAGATATTTATAAATGATGAAGTTTACCTTTAAAAATTGTGAAATTTTGTACAGAAAATTTCCAAAACTGTATTAGAGCAAAATCAGAAGTCGTTGTATGGGGGATATCCTCAATTTTCAAACCTTGTATGAAAGATACTTGTATATATGAATAAAAGAAAACTCAAACAATATATGATTTTTAACCTTTTACTTTTCTTTTGCTCTAATAGTCATATTAACCACTCAAACTAAAGCTGGAATAAGATTTAAATCGCAAATTCAGTTAAAATTGGTGTGTTCATCATATATTAATTCTAGATTTAACTCCTGAATCCAAATTATGATTTAATTTGTCACTAAATGGTGAATTAATTTCAAATTACAGATTGGCATGTGCTATTTGAATTTAAATTCTTCATAAAATGGCACAAACATTCAATTTTTATAATGATTTTGAGCTCTTAGAAGTTGAAAATATGCAAGATGAAATTGTTTAGAGTTACATTGTTTACAATAAACATAAAAAATTACATCATTCAGGATCTCCAGTTTAAAAAATTTCTTCTTTTTCATTCAATATTTAACTTTGTTTGCTTTAGTATTTAAGTTTTTATAACAAAATATTTGTTTAATGTTTGTGGTGTTATAATTTTTGGATAACTATTGTTATTTTTCTTTATTTGTTATTGCATTTATATTTAATTTCTAATATATATTTTATATTGAAACACAATTTTATCTTGACATTAGTTTCTTTTACTAAGAGAATCCGTTATCTACTGAACTTTGAAATTATGTACTTAGTTCACACATGCACAACTCAGATGATAAAGGATCAAATTGCGTATGAAAATTTCTGACAAGCAAACTCATACTAAAACCTGATTTTCTTGGAGCAACATGCTTATTCCTTTGCCAAGTTGGCTATCCAGACATATGATTTTTATATTATAATTTTATTTATAAGAACTAAAATATAACAAAAGGTTACATCCATACAAACTTAAAGTTACAATATGTACATTTTAAAAGATCTGTTAAAAACTGTCTCAGAATTATCAAGGTGTCAGAGCAAAGTGGGCATGCCAATAGCAGTTCTGTAACCTTATTATAACATTTTCTTCTGATGAAACCGTGTTGTAGTTTACTTTGCTTTTTATAACAATCAAATATCACATACTGATACATTTATTTACACTTTACATTTGTTTACATTTGATTACATAGCTTATAGTATATGCAAATTAGTTAATTTAAAATACTTGAGTAATGAATAAAAATGAACAATGTAGAACTCCATACTCAATTGATGTTATCAATGATAGGGTTTTTTGTGAAGTTAGTGCTATGCTTGACTGGTCAGCAGCTGGTATTGACAGAAATCTAAGAAAAGCATTAGATTGTCAGGTGTGTTCAGCCAACACTACTTGTTGATGGATTGCTCAAATTAAAGATACAGTGGATATCAAAGAGGCTCATCTTCAAGGAAGAACAGAAGTGATTATCAACAGGAAGAGAATCACATTGAGATCAAGGAATTTTTGAGTGAATCTAGAGATTGAAGTCTGTGAACTATTTAGGCAACAATTGGCATTCCACATGAAATGGTTCAGTTTATATTGAAGAGTCTCAACAAATTGCACAAAACTTGGGTTCCATAAGAATTGACAGAGGATCAAAAATTGAATTGGAATGCAGCATGTCAGATTTGCTTCAAATTCATAAAACAAGGAAGCTCTTTGAGTGTACTGTACACCTGCAATTGATATAACATGGATTCCCATGTACAGACCAGGTGGAGATGGATTAAAAGCTTGGCTACACCCAACGAAACAATGACAAACTCAAGTTAAGGGTGGTTTTGGCTAAAGAAGATGATACTCTTAATGACCATGGATTTTCGCAAAATTATTTTTGGCAATTCTTGCCTGAAAAACCACAGTGACTACCAAAATATATAAAAACTGTTAAGACGACATTGAAGAATGGAAAAATAAAAACAACATACAGCATTATTGCTCATGATAATGTCATACCCCATACCACTAAATTGGTTCAGGACTATTTTGTGGATGAAAGAATTTCACTTTTTATTCACCCAATCTTCAGCATTGTGATTCAACTGCTTAAGTCCTCTAAAAGCTGCTGTAAAGAGTACTTGATATCGAAACTGGGATGAGGTCGGAATTACATTGAATAATGTGTCCCGAATGCATTATGAATAATGATCCAGCACAGTTTGTCACATGGCCTCTATTGCAGTGTTAAAATGCTGCCAGAGTGATGGGAATGAGTCATCATGCAGGATAAAGACTATATTTAATTATTGTAAAATTTTAATATTTTAGACAAATACTTTTCTTTATTTTAGTAAAACCACTGATCACTTTGCTTTGATCACCCTGATAGTTAATTAAAATAAAAATTTATTTAATCATTAAATTTCTGGATATACATATGTCACACCAGTCTATAGTAGAAAATTTATATAATTAATTTATTTTGTCCACAATACTTTAAATACATTTTTATTGATAGTTACGTTAGACTCTTAGACTTTAATTATATATTTATTGACAAAAATATAACCGGTAATTGAAGAGGTAGCTGCTTTCTTATCATATCTAATAAATTATTCAACAGTATATCATTACATCTCACATTATTCTACAGTTTATACAGCAGTATTAATTGCAAAATAATATGAGGCGTAATGATACAGCAGCAGGTACTGTACATTTGTACCAGTGTGTCTGCTGTATTTGTTCATGCATACCTTTTAATCAGTCTGAAAATGATAAAGTGCATGATTATACTGTGTTAAAATTGATTGAAAAACCTGCAAAAACATTAATGGATGTACCATTACCCAAAATCAACATTTGCAATGATTCATGTGCATACAATAATTCTCAAAAGCTCTATGATTTTAGTAGAAGAAACCTGTGTTAGGTGTGCTTCTCCTTGGTCTGTAGGAAAGAAAGTACATTAATCAAGCACATTACCCATTCCTAAAACATGTTCTAGCTCTAACAAAGCAATATTTGTTTGGCACAATACAATATAGACAATCTATGGTTCTACAAATTTGCAGAATACTGGCATTCTTGATTATTATCGAGCAATTCCAGATTATCGGCTACTTTTCAGAGGTGGATGCTGAATTACTGGATGTTCCATGTGACTGGATGCTAGATTAACAAACTTCTACTATATATTGAATAATCATTATTATTATGGTTATAATTTTATGCTGAATTCTCAATGCTATTTTTATATGTATTCATTCAGATGTAACGAATTATCACACATCAAACTGATAGAACCTTGATTTGGCTGATTGTCATCTTTAATGCAGTTTTTGTACAATATGACCTTACACAATCAATTATTGCAAGACAATTTGCTTTTCTTTACTTAATACATGATGATTTATAAAACATAAATTGCCATGGACTTCTTATTGATAAACAAAAATATGTAAACAATTATCTTCATACTATTGATTCTGTAGAATTCGAGTGAATGTTTGATGGACAATTCATTCCTGTTGGTGTTCTTACATATATTTTTATTTGATACATGTTATTTTAATCCAGAGATTTAACATTAATTTTATATCTTTACAGGTTGGATTTTTTGGTTATATTGCCTTTCATGATAGTCCCATCAGCGGAAATATTTTAATTCGTTTGACGCCATCATTAACGGCTGAAGTTATAAAAGTCGGTTTTATATTATCAGTCGTTATTAGTTTTCCCTTGTGTCTATTCCCTTGTAGAAGCAGTCTTCATTCACTAATATTTAAACAGGTGAAAATTTATGTTAGTAAACATAATATAATAAAATGTNATTCTTGCCAAGTGAAATCAATATTTCTTATTGCATCTATGATGATATATTTTTTCCAAAATTGCACCACAAAAACATAGATTTAAACAAAGTAAGTGCTGTGACGAATTGCCACCTTCTGCCAATTGGTTTGTGTTTGGGAATAATCATATAATATATGCTTAGAGGTTTGAAAATGTTTTCCACTGGATGAAAAGTTTCCATTAAAATAGAATGTTCATGGCTTCTGTAATTAACTTTATTGTTTATTATTTCACTAAAAAACTGCAATTAGAATGTATCAATATATTATGTTACCTTAATCTGTTTAACATTTTTATTACAAAAGTTATTTAATTTCTTTTGCAGAATACTTCACAGCTAAGAGCAGAAATATTAATATTTTTAGGTTTATTTGTTGCTTTTCCTCTTGGACTTCTAAGAAAAGTGGATAGTTTAACTAGTTTCAGTGCCATGTCTATAGGTTTTTATATGTTTTTGATTCTAATTGTAAGTATCATTTAAATATAAAGTGTTATATAAATAATAGTATTACATTTATATAAATATTAATGTATAAAAATATAAATATTATTTATATAAATAATAGTATTACATTTATATAAATATTAATGTATAAAAATATAAATATTATTTATATAAATAATAGTATTACATTTATATAAATATTAATGTATAAAAATATAAATATTATTTATATAAATAATAGTATTACATTTATATAAATATTAATGTATAAAAATATAAATATTATTTATATAAATAATAGTATTACATTTATATAAATATTAATGTATAAAAATATAAATATTATTTATATAAATAATAGTATTACATTTATATAAATATTAATGTATAAAAATATAAATATTATTTATATAAATAATAGTATTACATTTATATAAATATTAATGTATAAAAATATAAATATTATTTATATAAATAATAGTATTACATTTATATAAATATTAATGTATAAAAATATAAATATTATTTATATAAATAATAGTATTACATTTATATAAATATTAATGTATAAAAATATAAATATTATTTATATAAATAATAGTATTACATTTATATAAATATTAATGTATAAAAATATAAATATTATTTATATAAATAATAGTATTACATTTATATAAATATTAATGTATAAAAATATAAATATTATTTATATAAATAATAGTATTACATTTATATAAATATTAATGTATAAAAATATAAATATTATTTATATAAATAATAGTATTACATTTATATAAATATTAATGTATAAAAATATAAATATTATTTATATAAATAATAGTATTACATTTATATAAATATTAATGTATAAAAATATAAATATTATTTATATAAATAATAGTATTACATTTATATAAATATTAATGTATAAAAATATAAATATTATTTATATAAATAATAGTATTACATTTATATAAATATTAATGTATAAAAATATAAATATTATTTATATAAATAATAGTATTACATTTATATAAATATTAATGTATAAAAATATAAATATTATTTATATAAATAATAGTATTACATTTATATAAATATTAATGTATAAAAATATAAATATTATTTATATAAATAATAGTATTACATTTATATAAATATTAATGTATAAAAATATAAATATTATTTATATAAATAATAGTATTACATTTATATAAATATTAATGTATAAAAATATAAATATTATTTATATAAATAATAGTATTACATTTATATAAATATTAATGTATAAAAATATAAATATTATTTATATAAATAATAGTATTACATTTATATAAATATTAATGTATAAAAATATAAATATTATTTATATAAATAATAGTATTACATTTATATAAATATTAATGTATAAAAATATAAATATTATTTATATAAATAATAGTATTACATTTATATAAATATTAATGTATAAAAATATAAATATTATTTATATAAATAATAGTATTACATTTATATAAATATTAATGTATAAAAATATAAATATTATTTATATAAATAATAGTATTACATTTATATAAATATTAATGTATAAAAATATAAATATTATTTATATAAATAATAGTATTACATTTATATAAATATTAATGTATAAAAATATAAATATTATTTATATAAATAATAGTATTACATTTATATAAATATTAATGTATAAAAATATAAATATTATTTATATAAATAATAGTATTACATTTATATAAATATTAATGTATAAAAATATAAATATTATTTATATAAATAATAGTATTACATTTATATAAATATTAATGTATAAAAATATAAATATTATTTATATAAATAATAGTATTACATTTATATAAATATTAATGTATAAAAATATAAATATTATTTATATAAATAATAGTATTACATTTATATAAATATTAATGTATAAAAATATAAATATTATTTATATAAATAATAGTATTACATTTATATAAATATTAATGTATAAAAATATAAATATTATTTATATAAATAATAGTATTACATTTATATAAATATTAATGTATAAAAATATAAATATTATTTATATAAATAATAGTATTACATTTATATAAATATTAATGTATAAAAATATAAATATTATTTATATAAATAATAGTATTACATTTATATAAATATTAATGTATAAAAATATAAATATTATTTATATAAATAATAGTATTACATTTATATAAATATTAATGTATAAAAATATAAATATTATTTATATAAATAATAGTATTACATTTATATAAATATTAATGTATAAAAATATAAATATTATTTATATAAATAATAGTATTACATTTATATAAATATTAATGTATAAAAATATAAATATTATTTATATAAATAATAGTATTACATTTATATAAATATTAATGTATAAAAATATAAATATTATTTATATAAATAATAGTATTACATTTATATAAATATTAATGTATAAAAATATAAATATTATTTATATAAATAATAGTATTACATTTATATAAATATTAATGTATAAAAATATAAATATTATTTATATAAATAATAGTATTACATTTATATAAATATTAATGTATAAAAATATAAATATTATTTATATAAATAATAGTATTACATTTATATAAATATTAATGTATAAAAATATAAATATTATTTATATAAATAATAGTATTACATTTATATAAATATTAATGTATAAAAATATAAATATTATTTATATAAATAATAGTATTACATTTATATAAATATTAATGTATAAAAATATAAATATTATTTATATAAATAATAGTATTACATTTATATAAATATTAATGTATAAAAATATAAATATTATTTATATAAATAATAGTATTACATTTATATAAATATTAATGTATAAAAATATAAATATTATTTATATAAATAATAGTATTACATTTATATAAATATTAATGTATAAAAATATAAATATTATTTATATAAATAATAGTATTACATTTATATAAATATTAATGTATAAAAATATAAATATTATTTATATAAATAATAGTATTACATTTATATAAATATTAATGTATAAAAATATAAATATTATTTATATAAATAATAGTATTACATTTATATAAATATTAATGTATAAAAATATAAATATTATTTATATAAATAATAGTATTACATTTATATAAATATTAATGTATAAAAATATAAATATTATTTATATAAATAATAGTATTACATTTATATAAATATTAATGTATAAAAATATAAATATTATTTATATAAATAATAGTATTACATTTATATAAATATTAATGTATAAAAATATAAATATTATTTATATAAATAATAGTATTACATTTATATAAATATTAATGTATAAAAATATAAATATTATTTATATAAATAATAGTATTACATTTATATAAATATTAATGTATAAAAATATAAATATTATTTATATAAATAATAGTATTACATTTATATAAATATTAATGTATAAAAATATAAATATTATTTATATAAATAATAGTATTACATTTATATAAATATTAATGTATAAAAATATAAATATTATTTATATAAATAATAGTATTACATTTATATAAATATTAATGTATAAAAATATAAATATTATTTATATAAATAATAGTATTACATTTATATAAATATTAATGTATAAAAATATAAATATTATTTATATAAATAATAGTATTACATTTATATAAATATTAATGTATAAAAATATAAATATTATTTATATAAATAATAGTATTACATTTATATAAATATTAATGTATAAAAATATAAATATTATTTATATAAATAATAGTATTACATTTATATAAATATTAATGTATAAAAATATAAATATTATTTATATAAATAATAGTATTACATTTATATAAATATTAATGTATAAAAATATAAATATTATTTATATAAATAATAGTATTACATTTATATAAATATTAATGTATAAAAATATAAATATTATTTATATAAATAATAGTATTACATTTATATAAATATTAATGTATAAAAATATAAATATTATTTATATAAATAATAGTATTACATTTATATAAATATTAATGTATAAAAATATAAATATTATTTATATAAATAATAGTATTACATTTATATAAATATTAATGTATAAAAATATAAATATTATTTATATAAATAATAGTATTACATTTATATAAATATTAATGTATAAAAATATAAATATTATTTATATAAATAATAGTATTACATTTATATAAATATTAATGTATAAAAATATAAATATTATTTATATAAATAATAGTATTACATTTATATAAATATTAATGTATAAAAATATAAATATTATTTATATAAATAATAGTATTACATTTATATAAATATTAATGTATAAAAATATAAATATTATTTATATAAATAATAGTATTACATTTATATAAATATTAATGTATAAAAATATAAATATTATTTATAT